TGGAACATTAGCTACAGATCAGGTATGGGGACTCAAAGTTTTATATTTGTATTGTATTGGAAGCATTTACAAATTTGGATAGGAATGGTTCCATAAGCAAACAGAGTTAGTACCATTCACAGTCGTAATTTAAACTACCTTTGTTGCCTGCATCTTCTATAATTTGGTAAACCAGCTTCTCTTGATTGTCAGAGCCTTTCATTTTACTGTAAAAAAAGACATATCAAGATTTTTGAAAGGTCCAAAATTTGAAAGAAAATGGAGATTTTTTTTAAAACTACAAACAAGTACTATAAAACCCAAAAAACAATGCACAAAAAAACCCTCTATACAGTAAGCCAGCCATTGACAAATATAATACATGACAGTAAACCTCTCTGGATCAAGTCAAGCTTGCCAGTGAGAAGCCACAGAAAAAAGAGAAAGAAAAATGAAAGAATATGAAAGAAAAAAAAGTGACTAAGCAGGAATCACTCAACTTGCCATAACAATGGGGAACTTGGGGTCACATACTAACACAACTTCAGAAAGTCAAACACAGCACGAAACAGAATTTAAGATAATCTGCCTCTAGACAGAACATCTTCAGAAGGATAGTAGAATGCTCCTAACTCTAGAACATGCCTTTTCACTGGTCCAAGAAAGCATAAACTCAGCAATCCTTTTCTAAAGCATTTGAAAGAAAGGATGATACACCTGCACTAAGGATAATTTTGAAGCATATTTCCTTCCAGAAGTATGTCTAGGCATCTTTTACTTAGGTTTACATAGCCATTGCAAGACATGGTTTGGAGGTACATTTTAATAAATCAAAGAGCATGAGTTCAAGTGGCCTCCTGGGACAGCTGTAAATATCAGTGCTGATCCTGTAACACGAGCAGTTAGGAAGTTCACAGAACCCCAGTTAGCAGAAGGTTTGGTCAGGCTTCAGCTGGGTTTCACCTGAGCGTATACATACATATGTCTGCAGAGATCACTTTGCTGTCATTTAGACCAGGAACTCTGCTAGGAAGTTAGAGCTATAGTCCCATGGCACCTTCTGCTCAGTAGAGAACACTACACCTAAAACAGATTTCAGGGTGAGCTCAGGGGAGTTAAATGTACCCTCCTGAAACAAGCAGTTATGTTCTGTGACATCCATGTGACAGAATCCACATTACACTGCTGACTGACTTCTCAGATATGCTGCATGAGTTGCAGAATTGTGTTCCAAATATATTTATCCAGCAAACACAAGCTTACCTCGCATTTTGAGAATCTTTGATTCTATACAGGAGACCTGCATTGCTCCTGAGAAGGTCCAGTTGCCCCTAGGAGAGATGGGCACAACACATTTACTTTTCTTCAAAGAGCTTGTTTCAGAAGGTGGCAAAGGATATTCTTAAATTCTAAAATAAAAAACTTATTTAATGTCAACTAAATAATAAAGAAAGAAAACTAACATTTCTAACTACTGGAAACAATAATAGCCTTGAGAATATTTTCTCCCTACAAGTACAATAATACTCTTGAGGATCTTTTTTTTACTTGACATGTATCCACTCATCATCAGCTATCAGAAATAACAAATAGTTCCTGACCCTTCCCACAACATCTATGCACTTCCTATTACTTCTCCTAACTTTCATACGGTAGGAGGGATATCAAGTTCTTGTGTACTTTACTCTCACTTTCCAACAAAACACTCATTTGCATGGCAATCCAAAAATCACAATGGAGTTCTACTGCATAAGCTTTGCTACTGGAACTTGGAATTGTTCAAAGTTCTACTTTTTACTAAGTGGACATCACTGGAAAGCTGCCAACTAGGATAGGCAGTGACTCTCAGAAGCAAGTTAAGGGCATCTCTCACACACAGAAAAATTCTTCTGCTCTGGACACTTGTGCCTAGGCCAGGAAAATCCTTATTTCCTATTTTGAAGAGGCAAGCAATTAGACAAGCCTAAGAGAGTAACCCTGTCATGGCTAGGCTTCGCGAACGAAGATTTGGGAAGGCTCTATCCACATTTGCTACAGGCACGCTGGTGGCTTATGAGGCCAATACGCGACAGACATATCCGATTGCAAAAGGCACAACAGAAAGACTCCTTAGATGGTGTATTCTGCAATACACGGTTCTTTCTGCGTTGCCTTTTTTCCTCGAGAGTGATCCTGCGTGTGTTCTCGAAGGAGACAGCTGCGTTACAGATGGCGTGTCTCCAGGCCTCCCGATTTGAGGCCAGAGTAGACCCGTTATGGTGATCAATATGGCCAAGGCTGAGATGTTGTTTCAGGGAGTCCTTGTATCTTTTCTTCGGGGCTCCTCTCATGCGGTAGCCAGTGGCAAGTTCAACATAGAGCAGGATCTTAGGGAGGCGGTGGTCCTTCATCCTTGAGACGTGCCCTGCCCATCGCAGTTGCGTTCTCAGTAACATGGCCTCAATACCTGTGACAGCTGCTTGCTCTAGAACAGATGTATTGGTCATATAATCTGACCAGTGGATGTTTAAGATTGAACGGAGGCATATACTATTATTATGCAACCCTGTATAACAGCATTAATTAACATTTTTCATTGCCAGCTGATCCTTTCCTACAGTTACAATCTTGTTTCTTAGAGATTTACATTACCTGGCTGATTGAAGCTTACACTTCAGCGCTCTGCTACAGATGAGGTACTTGAAGATTAAATCAAAGTACCAGATGCTTATTAAGGCTGAGCTCTCACTGCCATTTACCCCCACATCTGAAGTACTTTCTAGATCTTCCCACATACTCCCCACTTCTAAGCATCAATTTTAAACAAATTCCAAAGCCTTAACTATCTTTGAAGCCTCATTATGAAATCTGGACAGCCCTTTCAAAGTTATTGAACACACTCAGTAATATCTATAACAAAACTCATTTATTACAGAAAGACAAAAAAGAGAAAGATTACTTCCAGTGATACCTAGTATGGATCATAGGATCAAAGTGAAGAAATTTCTTCAGCTAGTAAAAAAAGCAAACCCAAACAAAACAACAAAAGCCAACCACCACACCTTGCTCAGTTTGGATACTTTCCACTATCCTTTCTAAGAAGCAAGTTCCCCTCTTTTTCAAAGTGCTCTCTGGACTGCACCACTCCGACTGTTTTATTTCCTGACTCCACATGCTCAGGAAGCAGCTAGGTATGGAACCAAAAGGAACCTTGATCTTTTAAAGAGCCTGAACATTTAGCTGCTACTCAAGTTTACACCACATTGACCCAACAAGACTGAACAGCTACTCTCTATTCTTGAACACTTGGCCGGAGTAGCCGAGTGTGATCCTTGCTCCTATCTTAGGCTGACTCCTGATACAGTAAAGAGAAATGCCCAGTGAGGCAAGGGAAATTTACAGAAAATACAAAAAAATTCCTTGACATGTTTCACCTGCATGTTATCAGAGTAATCCACAACCTTGGGATTTTGTGAGGGGTTCAGAGAAGACATATAAGAGCATGGGCTAACATCCATCCTTTTCTCTCCAGCTAATTCATTCTCGATCATTAATGGGCCTTGTGGTTATCACCCGTGGCCATCTTTCCACCTGATGAACCCTGAACTATACTTGCACCCAACTGGTACTCTAGACCATTGTAACACATTTTGCTTTACAAAGTAACACATAGTGAAAAGACCAAAAAACTCTAAACACATCAAAAAACCCAAATGTCGTACTTCTCAGTGTTAGCTTCCTCACCCAGTGATCCACATCGATATACACCTCCATGTTAACTTTGTATTGCAGACTAGAAAGAGTCAGTTGAGGCACACCTTAATTAACTTTAGCAATCATTAGTGCTTATGGCTACCAAAAGTAAACTATGGCAACTGTATATCATAGCAAATGCTGCTAAATCCAGTGGGATCAATCTGCTAGCCCTGCCCAACATGCAGACCGTACGTACAGAGTATGTATGTACGTGCTCTGGGTTGGCTGAGATAGAGTGAGGAAGGTGAGATCCCCCTACCATGGAGAGCAGCCTGTTGATGGCCACAGCTCGCTGCTGGGCTTCCATGTGAGGCATGTCATTCTGGATCACCTGGTCTGTGATACCATGAGGGAATTGGTGGCACAGCTCAATAATCCTGCGGGAGGAGAAAAGTGAGTTTAAAGTCATGTTCTGTTGCACCTGAAACCAAACTCAAGTATTAGAGTCAGGATGGAAGAGAGTGACAAGAAAAAATCAGGGCAAAAGTATCCAGCGACTGTTTCTTGGTCATGTCTCTTGAGGGAACCCAGCATCTACTCCCTTGTGCTGACAAATATAAACCTGCCCCAGCTGCTGGACCAACTACCTCTGCTCTTGCTGACAACACTGAGTGTGGTGCTCTATTTTACTTTTGTGTTGTTTTCATTATTAACAACATGGATTTAAAGCTCCCTGTATGTTTTATTATACAAAAGGTTCCAATGGAAAGGAACTGGTGACTAATCAGAGAAGGCAAATAGTGATGAAATACCTTTAAGAAAAAAAAAATTCATGTAAAAAAACCACAATTCCCTTTTCCAAGACCAGAAAAAACACCAAGGCAGCCAAAGGTGACCTGACCCCGTCTCCCAGTGCCACCTAAGCATCTCTCAGCACGAAACTCTCAGTACCTCAAACAACTGCAACCCTCTTCTTCAGCACCTATTTCCTGACCAGACTCAGGCCTCGAACCACAGCTCCCAGGCCCTGAACAACACCCCTCAAGGCACCGGCACGCCCCACGCCTGTCTCCCCCACACCAAAACAAGTCTCCCTGGCCCCTTGCGGGCCTTCACACACCCCTACTGCGTCCTGCCTCTCCTCTCGCCCGGCAGCCTCTCCATCTGCCACGAGAGAGCCCCCCAGGGCCGCCCGCCCCGCACCTGCTCTCGACATCCATGGGGTCGGGCACCTCCGGCTTTACCTTCACCTCCGCCATGGCGCGGCCGGCCTGGCGCGGCGAGATGACGTTTGAGACGGGCAACGGAGGGGAGCGCAACGACCAATGGGAGCCGGGAGAGGCCGGCGCGCGGCGGCCGTGGAAACGGGACGGCGGCGGGGCCGGGCGGGTGAGTGGGGCTGGCACGGCGGGGAGGCAGCGGGGCTGGCACAGCAGGGATGGAGCGGGGCCGGCACGGCGGGGAGGTAGCGGGGCTGGCACAGCAGGGATGGAGCGGGGCCGGCACGGCGGGGAGGTAGCGGGGCTGGCACAGCAGGGATGGAGCGGGGCCGGCACGGCGGGGAGGTAGCGGGGCTGGCACAGCAGGGATGGAGCCGGGCGGGGGACCAGGCTGGGCCGGGAGGGGACGGAAAGCGGGGCCTGGCCGCCCTGTGGCGGGAGCCGGGCGCGCTGGGGATGCCGCTGGGACCGTGCGTCTCCCGCCAGGGATGCGGTCCCAGGAGGCTGAAACAGAGCACAGCGTGCCTTGGTCCAGGTGTGCCAAGAGCAGGCGGGGCCTTGAGGGAAAACCTATCAGCTCCCTCGGGGCAGGTAAAGATCTGATCCGCCCGTAGTTGGTGAGTGGATGTCAAGAGGATGGAGCCAGGCTCTTCTCGGTGGTGTATCACCTGAACATGAGGAAGAACAACTTTGCCCGTGCGGGTGATCGAGCACAGATCAGAGAGGCTGTGGAGTCTCCCTCACAGTACTCATCTCAAGTTTTGTTCACAGTTCTGCAACAGAATGAGTTGGAAGTAGGATGTTGCCCCTTTTCAGTGTGAAAATCATGCAAATATTAATGACAAATAACAGTTTAAAGAATCCAGTGTTCTCTCTTAAGAGAAAAAAACGAGGACAAGAGATCATGTTAAAAGACTGTTTCTCAGTGCATTCTTCTGTGTAGGAAAATTATTATCTGCCTTTTTATTTTTCTATTTTAAAGATTGCTGTTGAGAAAAATGACAGCTGGCTCTGTCTCAGTTCCTCAGGTCATACCACTTCGAATCCCTCTTCCAGGGAAGGCTAAACATGAAATAGACACAAATACTCTCGTAGAAATAAAATCAGGTACGAATAAGAGTCTTTATTTCTGTGGTCATTTGAATTGTTTAGCCTCTATACTTTTCTTCATGTTTGATTATGATTTTTATGAGTGTGCATTTCATTAAGGAACTTACAAAATTAACCAACAGCTTTTGATGTGCCAAATATACTTGCATGTAATTTTATGCATTCAAGTAATATTACCAACATACAAGTTATATGTGTTAGCAGTCTTAATTGCTTCCAAGGTCGAAGTTTTAAGCTGTTACATTTTGCTTTGACTGCAAAAACAGTGCTTGAAAATATCATGTGCCAGGCTCACCCCCAATGTTTTCCTTACGTGTTTTAAAATGTCACCTTTCACCATGGCAGAAAATATCTTTTCTGTCATTGGAATGGATAAGCTGCTGTAATGTTTTCATACAAAACCATTGCCCAGCTACTTTGATATAAGAAATGTTGCTTATAATGAAATTGTGTCTATTGAGTAACTGATATTTCATGGCAGAAAGAGTTTTGGTCCCAAACATTCAGTCATTTATGGAACTGCTCTATTTTGTTTATGTGACAAAAATCAAGCACAGTAGTGAGTACTCTGGAGTGCAGAGCTTGTTTTTCCAAGGTTGAATACAGTTTGAATAATTACTTTCTCTGTTTCAGATACACCTGAAGTCTCTATTTATTACACTTTAGATGGAAGTAAACCAGAACTCATTAGGAAACCTGGCTATGGAGAGTGTAACACTTTTAAGTATAAGGGTCCTATCATATTACCAGTTGGGAAAATAGTGGTCAAGGCACTAGCAGTTACAAAGTAAGTAACTTATTTATTTTAGTCCTGTTTTGGCAAGGGCCAGATATCTCAGTCATAGCTTGTAGCCATGTTGTTTAAGGCACTCCGTGAGAAATGCCCCTTTCCACAGCCAGTTTGCAATTGAAATGATCTTTAGGAATTGCATTGACATTCCATTCTCATAATACTATTTATCCACCAAGTGTTTGTGTGGTTGAATTATCTCTCTGGTGTTTATCTCCTGGGCTGTGGGTGTGGGCCAATGATCCATAGAGGCTGTGGGTGAGAAGCTAATACTTAGTGCTCATCCTTTTGAGTGTGGTCATCGGAAACACCAGAGGAACCAGTATGGTGTTTTCTGGGCTCATCCAGTGTTTCAATGGATTTATAGAAGCTGGTCGTTCCAGGAACTTGCATAGTTTCTCCCAAAGGAGTACAGAATGCCAAACCTCATAGCTTAAGTACAATGTTGGGTAAGGTGAATACATAGAAACAATACATAGAAAGAAAATTGCATTTTGCTGCACAGCCACTGACTTTGTCCAAACTAGCTTCATACTTAGAGACAGAGAGAGGACACATAAATTCTCTGTCTGGACTGTGTTGCATTATCTTTTATTTCCAACAGAGTAGAAACTCCCACTCCACTTGGAGATTTGTGCTTGCTGTTCCCTGTTGTTAGCACCTGCAGGTAGCCTTCATTTGTGTTTGCGCTGGAATATAACAACATTATATTCCCTGTGCAGGGACATGCAAAACCTAGGCCTATGTGTATTTTCTTTTTATCACTACCTAGATTAACACTTGTTTCCAGTATGTTTTTATCCTGAGTGGTTTGCACATTTACAGCAATTTCAATGATACTGTTGTAATTTAACATGTATTAGCGAATTGAAGATTTTTTATTACCTAAATATTGCCCAGGATTATACTTAATCAACTGAAGTAGTAACTGGCAACCTTGGAAAAGATGTTCAGCCAGATGAGCCATGTTAATCAGTGGCTCGTTGCTGCACATGGGTTTGTGAACATTGATTTTCAGGGACTGCAGGAAGAGTACAGTCGTAACAAAGGTGTTTCTGGTAGAGTACAAGCAACCAAACATCCTTGTTTCTGTTGAAGATGATGACAAGAATTTTCTAAAAGATATAGCCGCACGGGTAAGTTTTAGCAATTGTAACCCCTTATGTGAATATAAAATATTATATATATGTTACTTAGAGATTAAACTGTCTATACTATTAATATATTTATTTTCTCTGTCTGCCCATCTTTGCTGCTTTGGTCCTTTTTGTAATATTAAAATTTCAAGGGGACACTTTTTTTCCCCAGTGGTATTTTATGAACAATTCACATCAAATGTTTTAAAAATACATTTATAATAGGAGTTTTTCAAATGCTTGCATTGAAAATAAATAGCTTAAATATATAGCAAGAGAGGATTTGAGCAAAAGCAAAAATTTCGTCTGGAATTCAAATGGAATTACCTTTTAGAATAAGGAAGGTGGAATGTTTACTACAAAATCAAGGAAGAATGGACTGAATGTGGAAATCAAGCCCGCCTGGGGTGAAACACCCCAAGACTTTCAAGGTATAGTATTACTTCATAAAACTGAGATAGTCTTCTGTTTTAGCAGAAAATAGTGTAACCTTTTCCTCTTGTATCAGATAGGTAATTTTAAAACCATCTCAGAGGACAAAACATCCTCTGCTCAACACTGCAAATAGAGCAAAACTTACCTTCCATACATTTCACATTACTTCTTAAAAACTTATTAAAATGTCATTAATTTCTCAGCAACATAACAAGGCCCAAGTCTGTATTTCTCTTTGTGCCAGAAAATGATGTTAAATTGGTGGGATTACAAATCCTTTACAGAGTTCTTTACTATGTTTGCTTGCAGTAAGATTCCAAAATAAAATACAAAGCACAAATTAGAGTTTAACCCAGATTTTCACAGTAGATAAAGTCTTTTATTTCATGGCAATGGCAATGGGACTGTTTAAGAGCAGGGAATTGTACTACTGTTTACTCATTAATTTACTTTTAGGAGCTGGAGTTTTTCTGAGCATGAAGGAAGGAATAAAACTGTAAATAAAGAAAAATACAAAAGTAGGCTTTTTCAGAGAGACATGATTTTTCTTCTGGTTCAGTTTCCTGTAATTCCGTGCAGCTTATTTGAACCCAAAATCTGGATGTCAGATACATTTTTTAATATGCTTAGCGAGAGTATGTAATATTCATGTTAAGATATATATTACTGCATGAAGTGAATGACAGTGGAATAACAGAATTGTAATTTTAATCTTGGAAACAGAAAGAAAGACTTCTCATAGATCCCTCCAAGGACCACAGCTCCTTGCCAGTCATTTGGGAACAACAGGGTACAGAAAAGAATCTGTCTCAGCACCACCAACAGAATCATTACAGGTAAGCAAAGGGGTGCTGAAGAAAACTGTGTAAGACTGTCATCAGGACAGAGGTCTAAAAAAATGAAGATATGAAGATTTGTGATTTCTCAGATCTCTCAGCCTTTGTCTGTATTTTACAGTCCTGATTTAAATTTAATGGTAATGACATACTAGAATAGGAATACCCAAAGCAGTTTACAGTTATCAGTATAGACAAAACCAGGCAAAGAAAATTAACATTCCTACTAATTCTTTTCTGCTATGTTACTGAATGTGCAATTAGCAAATACCTACTGCTGTATGTTGTCAAGTTAATATTTGAAACTCAATATTCAGTAGTGCTGTCATGAAAGTAAATAGCAAGAGATTGATTTATTTTTATTGGAAGAAGCTCTGGGTCCTTAAGGCAGTTAACGGGGGAATCGAGTACTGTTGATGCTCCTTAAAGCAGTGCATTTCAGTGCACTGTTTCCTGTTGTTTCAAATAGCATCTTCAGCTGATTCTGCTACTTTTATATGTATTTTGCAAATATTTGCTTCTAAGGGCTAAAGAAGTAACTTCATTTCAGTTTGCAAGTTCTTCTGCAGTGACAAACCAGAAAAGCTTAGCAAGCACACAAGTGTCAAGGATCCAGAGGGAAACAGATTTCCTTAAGTAAGTGACTTCTCCTTTTAACATATTTGTCCTTTGGAAAGTGTCTGAACCTTTTGCAAGCAAGTTGGTAATACTGTGGGCCTCTATAAACATTAGGAAAGCAAAGACAGACACTGGCTCATAACTGAATAATATAATCTAGGTAAGGCCTTCTCTTAAATGTCGTTTTATTTACATTTTACCATACACAGTTATCAACTGTCTTATCATCTCTTAAAAAAAATTTCTAAGACCTGTAGAGTCAGAGGATAAACTATCTTTTCAAATTATACTACAGCCTTACTGCTGCAGGTGAAAACTGCTCACTGGAGTAGTCTCACAGAATAGTAATGCTTATCAGTATTGGAAGGGTTCTGTGATCTACATCAGTGGTTCCCCATGCTGCAGCAGTGAGGCCTGATACAGACTGCATGTCAGGAGACCTGTTTACCTCACATGTTTACCTCCTCATGGTGAGGAAGAAAGTATGAAATTCCATAGCAGCCAGAGAGCTTTCTACTCTGCAAAGCTGTTTAGAATTCAGAACTTCATATCATGAATGCTGGGGTATGGTCTGGTAGACCACCACAGCTTGGAAACCACAACTGAGAAATCAGTGGCCTAAGTCCTGTCACAACAAGTTCCAGATTATTAATTATTATGCAGCAGTGCAATACTAAAACAAGCTCAGCTAGTTTGGTCTTATTTTCAGATGTGCACACTGTTCTGCACCTCGCCTGTCTAATCCGTTGGCTCACTTCTGTCAGAAATGTGGATCTCCTATCCCACCTGTGCCGGTACATCGCTTCCCACTCCCTGAAGGAAGGCAGGTCAGCAAAATGTCGTAACAATCAACACATCATCTTTGGAGTAAACAACATCCTCTGCAAGTTACACACTCAGTGCTGGCAAACCTGTTACTTAGTCGCACTTTCATTTGGAAGTTCTGTTCTAATTGTTTTGTTCTGCTCAATACCTTTAGCAGTAGAGCTGATGAAACTCTCAAATTTTGAGCAAAATTAACCATAGATTTCTTCAAGTGCCATGTTTTTTAATAGGGAAAACAATGAAAAAGTAAATTGTGTTTTATTTGCCTGTGTCGAATATGTGTCTTATTCCAATGCTAACTAGTGCAGTTAGCTAATAACTAGTGCTTATGTCATAGCTTTAGAAGATCGATCTAATATTCCTGAAACCTTAAACAGTGGCATGTGTGGGCATATGTAAGAGCACCAAGTTTTTGCAGTGGTGCCTGTAACTGTCTTCCCTAAGCCCCTCCCAGGAGATAATAACCTGATCTAACAAGTCAATGGTGTGTCTCCTTTCCTATATCATCAGAAAGATATCTTGTCTGGGGCAGTGCTGTAGTTTTAAGTAATGACTGAGAAGATTCACTGCCTGCTTAGATTAGATTCATAATTCATCATCATCATCATGGCTAGGCTTCGTGAACGAAAATTTAGGAGATTCATAATTAGGATGATTTCAATTACCTGTACATATTTTATAGTAGCATTTTAATTTTACTGAAAATTAACTTAGTACCTTTTCAGCATTGTCTTTCCAGATGTGTTCATATTTTCTCAAAAGCCTTTGATCTTTAGGGATCAATATCAGCTTCAGTTGTTGTCAGTTTCTTTGTTTCAAGTGACTTTGCTGCTGATGTAGACTCCAGATAGGAAAATACTGAAATCTCATTATAACTTTAATGATTTCATTGAGGTCCTTACCATGCTGTGTTGTGGCTTTTTCTTCAGATGGCACCATGTCTTGAATGCAGACATCCTGTGCCAATGAATACACCCACTTGCATTGTATGTGAGTCACCAATAGCTCCACAGCTGCAGCCCCAAAACAACACCTGCATAAAGGTAATTGAGAACAAATGTAACATAAAAGTGATTTAACTCCTGGCATGCATTTTTCTAACAAATTACTTCATTACAAATATTTTGATCCAACTTGGCTTTGTATAATTATATTATGAGAGCTTTAAGAGTTAGTAGGATTAAAAACACCTAGAATAGAACTAAGGATTAAAAGTGAACAACATAAGCTCAGGAATGCATGCTGAAGAGCACATGATGTAGCAGTGGAGTGTGGAGCGATGGCTCGCATGTTAGGTTAGCAGTTGGACTTGATGATCTTAAAGGTCTTCTCCCACCTAAATGATTCTATGATTCTGTGCCTCTATGGGTGGCATCGTAGTGGTGTCTGCTGTAGGCCCCCTCACCAGGAAAAAACAGTGGATGAGGCCTTCTGGAGACAGGTAGAAGTAGGTTCACATTTACAAGCCCTGGTCCTCATGGGAGATTTTAGGCACCTGATATCTACTGGACAAACAACAAAGCCGAGCACAAGCAATCCAGCACTTCCTGGAAAATATCAGAGATAACTCCCTGGCACAAGTGGTTGAGAAGCCAGAGAAGAAGGGTGCTCTGCTGGACGTTATACTTAGAAGGAAAGAAGGGCGTTCTTGGAGATGTGAAGGTCGAAGACAGCCTTGGCTGTAGTGACCACAAAACAGGAGTTCAGGACCCTGAGAGGAAAGAGCAGAGACAAAAGCAAGATCACAGCCCTGGAATTCAGGAGAATGGACTTTGGCCTCTTCAGGAATCTGCTTGAAAAAGTCCCATGGGATAAGGCCTTGCAGAAAGAGGAGTCCAAGAAAAGTAGTGATGATTTAAGGTGATTCAAGGATCACCTCCTCCAAGATCAAGAGGAGTCCATCCTTATAAGCTGGAAGACAGGCAGAAGTGCCAGCAGCCTTGCATGGATAAACAAGGAGTTCCTGTCAAAACTCAGATATATAAGAAGGAAATATACAGAAGGTGGAAGCAGGGACAGGTAACCTGGGAGGAATATGCAGAGGCATTGTTAGGAAAGCCAAAGCCCCTAGGAACTGTGTTGCCAACAGGTCAAGGGAGGTGATCCTTCCCCACTACTCAGCTGTGGTGAGCCTGTAACTGGAGTACTGTGTCCAGTTCTGGGCTCCCCAGTACAAGAGAGACATGGACATAATGGAGAGAGTCCAGTGAAGGTCCACAGAGATGATTAAGGGACTGGAGTGTCTAAAGGAAAGACTGAGAAAGCAGAGACTGCTTAGCTTAGACAAAAGAAGGCTCAGAGGCGATCTCATCAATGTATATAAATACCTAAAGGTAGGGTGCAAGAAGATCATAGAATCATAGAATCAGCTGGGTTGGAAGGGACCTCTGAGATCATCAAGTCCAATGTCCACTACCACCATGCTTCCTAGACCATGGCACTAAGTGCCACATCCAGTCTCATCTTAAAAACCTCCAGGGACGGAGAATCCACCACTTCCCTGGGCAGCCCATTCCAATGCCTGATTACCCTCTCTGTAAAGAATTTCTTCCTAATATCTAACCTAAACCTCCCCTGGCAGAGCTTAAGACCGTGCTCTCTTGTCTTACTGATAGCTGCCTGGGAGAAGAGACCAACCCCCACCTGGCTACCACCTCCTTTCATGTAGTTGTAGAGAATGATGAGGTCTCCTCTGAGCCTCCTCTTCTCCAGGCTGAATAACCCCAGCTTCCTCAGCCTCTCCTCATAGGACTTGTGCTGCAGTCCCTTCACCAGCCTTGTTGCTCTTCTCTGGACCTGCTCCAGCACCTCAATATCCTTCCTGAACTGAGGGACCCAGTGAACACAGTACTCGAGCTGTGGCCTCACCAGCACTGAGTACAGGGGAAGAATCACTTCCCTGGACCTGTTGGCCACAGTGTTCCTGATACAGGCCAGGATGCCATTGGCCTTCTTGGCCACCTGGGCACACCGCTGGCTCATGTTCAGCTTCCTGTCAATCCAAACTCCCAGATCCCTTTCTGCCTGGCTGCTGTCCAGCCACTCTGTGCCCAGCCTGTAGTGCTGCATGAGGTTGCTGTGGCCAAAGTGGAGGAAGATAAACCCAGGCTCTTTTCGGTAGTGCCCAGTAACAGGACCAGAGGTAATGGGCACAAACTGAAACACAGAAGGTTCCATCTGAACATCAGGAAACACTTTTTTACTGTGATGGTGACTGAGCACCTGTACAGGTTGCCCAGAGAGGTTGTAGATTCTCCATCCTTAGAGATATTCGAAAGCCATCTGAACATGGCCCTGGGCAAGCAGCTCTAGGTGGCCCTTCTAGAGGGCAGAGCAGAGGGATTGGACCAGGTGACCTCCAGAGGTCCCTTCCAACCTCAGCCATTCAGTGGGATTCTGTGATAATAGCAAGCAAACATTTTTGGAAGGAGAAGGATGATGAAAGAAGATTACTATCTGAAGACTAATCAGATAACAAAGGAGATTCATAATGTGAGGCAGTTACCAGCTTGATGTCTGTATTGGACCTGGCTGAAATGGAGTTCATTTTTCGTACAGGAGCTCTCACAGTGCTGTGCTTTGCACAGGCAACTAGAAAGGTGTCCATAACACACTGGTGTTTTGGCTACTGCTGAGCAGTGCTGGCAAGCACCAGCACTATCTCTCCAACATCTCCAGTAGGCTGGGGGTGGGCAAAATCTTGGGAGCCAACATGGTCAGGACAGCTGACTCAAACTGACCAAAGGGAAATTCCATGCCATATGGCATCAGCTCAGATATAAAAGCTAAGAAAGAGGAGAAGGAAGGGTAGGGTGGGCATTCATTATTTACAATATTTGCCTTGCGGATCAACCTCTATGCATGCTGAAGCCCTGCTTCCCAGGAAGTGGCTAGACATCACTTGCTGATGGAAAACAGAAAATCTCCGAGTTTTTAACTTTGCTTGTGCACGCATGACCTTCACTTTTGCTTTAGTAAACTGCCTTTATCTCGATTGATGAGGTTTTTTCCATCTTATTTTCTTCCCGTCCTGCTGAGGGGAGTGATAGAGTGGCCTGGTGGGCACCTGGCATCCAACCAAGGTCAATCCATCACAGTCCTTTTTGGTGCCCTATGTGGGGCATGAGGAATTTGAGATAAGGATAGTAATTGGAAGAGGTAACAGACAAAATATGAACTGCACAGTGTTAGAGAGTGGAGCGATCATGGGGAATTTCTCGTGTTGTAATTGTGGTGAAAGGAAGAGGGGTGAATTGTGTGTAAATCTTCCACTTTCATTCAGTATTGTGATGTTATTTTGACTTTAATGTGGATTTTAATGATAATTCTTAAATATGTGATTGACAGAGATACTTTGTTTTCATGGCAAGGTTTTGGTAGCAAGGTGGGGGGCTATAGGGGGGGCTTCTCTGAGATGCTGCTAGAAGCTTTCCCTTTGTCCAATGAAGCCAATGTCAGCTGGTTCCAAGAGGGACCCACAGCTGGCCAAGGCTGAATCAATAAGCAACAGAGGGAGGGCCTCTGGGATAACATGTTTAAAGAGGGGGGGGGAGAGTTATTGCACAGAAGCAAATTGCAGCCAGAGATGAGAGAAGTGAGAAGTGAGAAGTGAGAGAAACAACTATGCATACACCGAGGTCAGTGAAGAAGGATGGAGAGGAGGTGCTCCAGGCACAGGAGCTGAGATTACCCTGCAGCCCTTGGTGAAGACCATGGTGAGGCAGGCAGTCCCCCTGCAGCCCAGAGAGGTTAATGGGGAAGCAGCTCATGGAGGACCCCACACTGGACCAGATGGATGCCTAAAGGCAGATGTGCCCCCATGGGAAGCCCACATTGGAGCAGGCTCCTGGCAGGACCTGTGGCCCCATGAATAGAGCTGGAGCAGGTTTGCTGGCAGGACTTGTGACTCCATGGGGGACCCATGCCTGTTTCTGAAGGACTGCAGCTAGTGGAAAGGGACCCATACTGGAGCAGTTAATGAAGAACTGTAGTCTGTGGAAGGACTCATGTTGGAGACGTTCATGGAGAACTCTCTTCCCTGGGAAGGACCCAATGCTGAAGCAGGGGAAGACTGCGAGGAGTCTTCCCCCTGAGAAGGAAGGAAGGTTACTGACTGTAACCCCCATTCCCCATTTCCCTGTGCTCTTGAGGAGGGCAGGAGGTAGAGAATCAGGAGAAAAGTTAAGCCTCAGAAGGAGTGGGCAGTGGGGTTAAGATTTGGGTTTATTTCTCATTATCCTACTGTGATTTGATTGGTAATAAATTCAGTTAATTTCCCCCAGCTGAGTTCTTTTTTCCCATAACAGTAATCAGTTATCATTGCCCTTATCTCAATTCATGAGCTTTTCATTATATTTTCTCTTCCCTGTCCATCTGAGGAGGGGAGTGGTAGAGTGGCTTTGGTGGGCACCTGGCCTCCAGCCAGGGTCAACCCACCAAAGGTAGTTTATAGCCATTGGCCCAAGTGGAAGGTTTTATGGTAGCCCTGATGTAGGTGCAAAGGCAGACCTGAACTATTTGGTGGCAACAATCAAAATAGCAGTGTCATTATTCTTAGCCCTGGTAGAAACTCAGTTGTTAATAGTGACTGTGCTAAGACCTTTTAAGGATATTTTAAGGCACCTAATGATATGATGGTATTGTATTATTAACAGTTATTATATTATTAATAATTTTCCTTGCAGGTACTGGACTGTCTGTTTTTCGTGAGTGTAGTGACTAAGCAAACTGACACTAGTATATACAAATATCTGGAGCTATTGATACTGGATCTCCTGAGGAAACTATGCCATAGTTTCAAAAAATTAGTCACCAAGATACACAGATTTGTGATGACCAGGCAATATGGCCTAACTAAAGTGTGAAACCTACAGCACAGAGTTTAAGTATCTCTTCTATCTGCAGGGCTGAATAACCACAGCACTTTGTAAGATCAAGTCCTCTCGTTCTTTTCGTTGTTTACAGTTTTCAAATACTATGTGAAATGTATTCTTTGTCTGTTTAAAAGGGTAAAGTAATTTGTCAGGTGTGTGGCACAAGAAATCCTCTTCACCATAAACACTGTGCAACTTGTGAAAGCAAACTGCCTGAAATACAGACGGTAAGGCTTCTTGCATCAATGAAATAAAAGCATAACATTCTTTATCTTTGGAAAACTGACGGTATATCCCTGTGTCCCTATATTACAAGGACAGAGATTTCCTCCCCCATGTCATATTCAAGCCCAGTACTGCCACAGATGCTCCATCACAAACGTCCAGCTAAACAGAAGTGTATCATGTACCTTCAAGTTTCACCCATGGAAGTCAGGATTATGAATGCCATTGAGAAAGCTCAAAAGGCTCTTAGAAAATGGGTAGTCTTGACTCCAAGGAAGGCTTGTTTTTGTTCAGATTATTTTCAATTGCAATAGAAAAGTCGAGTATATACATGAGGAAGATCATTCACACTGATTTCAATTATTTTCTGAAAACAAAATATGCTTTTACATTATTTTTCTTATCTCCACTTTTACATTATTTTTTCTTATCTCCATTTGCTGCCTCTTCTATGTGCATACAGGGGCCTCTGGTGGTCTAGTGGTTAGGGTGCAGGACTCTCACCGCTGCGACCCGGGTTCGATTCCCAGCCCCCTGGGCAGATGGAGCTCGTCAGCCTTGTAAGGCAATCCATCTAAGAGAAGGTCACTCTAAACAAACCTACGTCCTGGGGACCTCACTGCCACTGTCCAAGTTTGCTTGGCCCCGGCAGATGAACCTCAGGATTAAAGGGTGGGCTCAGTTCAGCGCACGCTGTGTCTCACCTAAAAAATCCACTGCGCAGGCTTGAAGGGTTAATGACCTTTCCCAAATCTTCGCTCGCGAAGACTGGCCATTATGTGCATACAGCTAGTATGCTTGTATTTGGCTGTGACTCTGCACAGAGGTGAGAAAAGCGGTAGTAAATGTTACTTATGGTAACTTATGGTACCTTTCACTTCTCCACGTTGTGATAAATACAGAAATGAGAGAAAAATAATGATTTGCAAGTTAAAATCTGATTATAATGGCTAACATCCTGAGTTCTAAAACTGTTGCTAGAGGCAAAAGTCTCTTGTGTAGCCACTGAAGTGTCATTTCAAAGTGAATTTCAGTAGGATTCTGTACTTACCTAAGACAAATATATGTTTAGCTGCTTCACTGAATGTAGACATGTAGATATGTAATATGTAGCTGCATATGTAAGTTAGGCATATGGAGCATTCATGTCTTGTAACAGCTAAGAGAGAAAGTTAATTGCTTACTAAGAATTATTAATAGTAATCAGAAATTTTACTAATAATATAGATTAATTAGTGATAAACATTAGTAATTTCTAAATAATAATAGTAATTCTTATATTATTATTAATGGTTATTAAATAATATAGATTTAGAAGACATTTAGATTTGTGCCTTCGTAAATTTTATCTTCCAATTAAACCCTTAAATTACTTAGTTTCAGTTGAAATACAGGCCACAGATGAAAATAGGGCTATTTCATGTTTGCTTACTTGCTGTTGTGGTGTAATACAAATAATTTTCCTCAGGTTGTGTTCCTTATCCGTATTCCTGACTTGCAGAGAAAATAAACTGCATAAGCCTTGAAGCCAAACCTTACAAAGCAGTTTTAAGTCCTATTTGTCCTAACTGGGATCTATACTAAACCTCTAGCAGTTTCAGATGAAAAACCTGTTTTATTTGCTTACCCTTATAATTTGATTGTAGTAGAAAAACAAAGTAATATATAACTTGCATATAAGGTAAAAGAGTGCAAAAAGAATATTTATACAGCAAATTCCAAACTGTGAGAAAACTCCCTGCCTTAACACATTCTTCCTGCCATACTCCTAAAAAGGAAGGTACGAAGAAAAATAGCTGTTGTGTGTTGGATTTGAAAATATAAGATTATCAGCAGAGAACCCTCACTCTTAATTTCAACTGTACTTACACATAGGGCTGATCAATAATAAATACATAGTGTAAAAGGATGCCATTGATAAGGTTTTTATTTTTTGGTACTAGTTCTACTAAAAATATTTTTAAATTAGTTAATGCCACATTTTACCATGGTTTTGTAATGAAAAAAATTACAGATTAGATCCAAGCCACTCTGTTGCTTATTTTAAGTTGCAGTAATTCTTAGTTGCAATAATTCTTTTAGGCTGCATATTACTTTATGTTATCAGAGTAGCTTGCTTTCATCTTTCCCCTTATTAGGCTTGTGAGCTTTTCTTCATAAGCAGCATTTTCTCCCTAATGCTTGTTTTGCTTTATTAGCCCATGTTTGGAGGAGACACCCCCCCACCTTACCACAGCCAGCAAAGGAAGACAGTTTTGTGCTCAAAATGGCACCGTGTTAACCAGTGTGATGCCCGTTTCTGTGACTGGTGTGGAGCCAAGGGATGTGCACTTGATGTTTGTGTGTACAAATCTGATTTCACTTGTCTGTGACCTGCAGCAATTTCAAGCTTCTCTTTGCAAAATTCTTGTCAGCCAGTAGACAGATTATTATTATCAAGATACTTGCTTAGAGCACATCGGATTATGTATGGAAAAATGAAAGTCTTAGATGACATCCTCTGGGGCCTCTGGTGGTCTAGTGGTTAGGGTGCAGGACTCTCACCGCTGCGACCCGGGTTCGATTCCCGGCCCCCCGGGCAGATGGAGCTCGTCAGCCCTGTGTGGCAATCCATCTAAGAGAAGGTCACTCTAAACAAACCTACGTTCTGAGGACCTCACTGCCACTGTCCAAGCTTGCTCGGCCCCGGCAGATGAACCTCAGGATTAAAGGGTGGGCTCAGTTCAGCGCACGCTGTGTCTCACCTAAAAAATCCACTGCGCAGGCTTGAAGGGTTAATGACCTTTCCCAAATCTTCGCTTGCGAAGACTGGCCATTAAAAAAAAAAAAGATGACATCCTGACCCCACATCAGTCAGTGACTTAAGGTTTTAGAACTTGACAAATTACCATGGGTCAAGAGCATCGCTCATTACATCAGCTGAGATGCAATAGCCCTGTACTCAGCCAAAGTAACTTATCCATCAAAGGTTAAAGTATAGGCTAACCTAATGCAAGTTTTCCCATAACTACACTGTGCTATAATCACCTATACAGGCAATTACAGATGTGAGATGATGCATGCAATCATTTTGGCTGAAGACCTCATTAACCTGGGTAAAGACAAGTACTTAACTGCTGCTCAATAGAGCTTGTGCAAACAATTTCCCCTTCTATAGTGTTTCAATCTAAGAACACACTCAAGGAGAATTTATTTTCTGTTAGATGAGTGCACATAAAATTTGAAACACTATCCTATATCAAATAACCATTGCTCCTGTACTGTACCAGGGAATGCAGGGAGTGGGAGTGGTGATAGAATTGAACTGGAAAGAATTGCAGTCAGTATTCAGTGTCAGAGCACCAGACTAGTAATTACAGGGCTTTGTCAAATAAAATAAGTAATTTTGAAAGTATATGTTAAAACTGAATGTACCATAATGCTAGATGTCTCTGAAAAAATGTTTGCCTTCATGGTATAGTGCTGAAATATCTGAAGATTTACTGTGTTGCAACTGCCTGTGTAGTAGCAATCTGGTATCCTGATTAATATTCCTAATCTAACAGCTTTAGGGAGTGGTACTTTACTTCCTTTTAATTCATTCCTCTGCTCTTATCATTCCTGAACCATGCATCATATGCTTCTCTAGTGACAAGTGTTGCATTGAACTTTCCAGCCTGGACCTCCTCCATCCTACTTTGCTTGTTTCAAGTGTGGTACAAGCAACCAGCCATACGCTCGCTTTTGCGTGTCCTGTGGTGTTTACATAGAGCCCCCATCAAGGCGAGGCTCTCCGAAAGGCAGTCTTATGGATCCTGGGGACTCACTGGGATCTTCTGAAATAAGACACGCAGTATTACAAAGCCAGGTTTCAAAACAACTGAAAGGCTTGTCCATTGCGGGTATAGATTGGCACAGCTCCATTCATTTCCTTAAGACAATGTTGTGGTCTTTGAGCATGAGGGCAAAACCGAGGATACGTTTGTTCTGCTTTCTGCTGAAGAGCAGCGTTAGCCCAAGGCCTTAATCCAGCCTCATCCTAAATAGCAAGTGAGAAACAATCAGCTTTTCAAAACACTTAGCTCTTTAAGCTTATTCTATTAGTTTTGAATTATTTGTGGCATGCTGATACAAGATATTCCTTCATACAAATGTAACGGTGTTTTTAAAACTCTGTTTTAAGAAAGACCACAATATTTAGCAAGACCAGCTTTTGCCCTACAAAAGCATACAAGTCTTCTGGCAATTGTGAAGAATTTTGACTTTGCTTGAATATTTGTGATAAGTTACATTGTTCTTACAGACTGGTAATTAAAATCAAGAATTGTTAGTGATTCTTCCTGCTAGCTTTTTCATTCCTTTACAATTTTGTGTACTGTTCTAGTTAAGTTATGCTTGTAAGCCATTTAATTATATCTAATTATATTACTTAGACTTTCCCTTCAACCCCCCAGGCTGAACAATTACAAGCTCAATTTGCCTGGCAACCTCATCCTGCTTCCATGACCAAATCAAGGCCAGAACTAACAGAAAGAGAAGATAAAGGAACCCAAACCATAGGACTTTTTTACCCGTCTAGCAAACAGTTGGAAAAGAAAGAGCTTGAGCTGATTTCACAAAAAGAAAAGATGGAAAAGATGAGTGATCATAAGCCTCTCCTGACAGCCATTAGTCCTGGAAAAGGTTAGAAGTTCTGATTTTATGTTTTCTAAACAATGTACGACCTTGTTCTTTCTTGAAAATATTATAGTCTATGGAATGTGGCATCAGTACAACACTGATTTAGATCTTTACAAGTCTTTCTTCCCACCATTTACAGTGACTTGTAAATGCAGCGCCTTACAATTCAATCACTGATCTCCATCAATAGCTAAAAGAGAAGTGTCAGCTATATCAAAATTGTGGTTACTGACCCCTGTGCAGCCTTGCTAATTTGGTAGTAGTTTGATTTCCTTAGATCCCACACAGGGGCAGACAACCTGCATTTGAACTGGAAACCACTGAACAGCCACCCCATCTCCCAGCACCCTTCAATGTGAATTTTAGTTAGACCTGTAATGGCACCTGCAGGGAGTATCAATTAACAAAACTGACAGGATCGTAGCTCTTGAAAATATGATGAAGCTTGTCTACATGAAGAACTTGTTTGGGGTGATGTTGTGGAGGAAATTTTAGAAGTTTTGGAAGCAAAGAAAACCTAACTAGATGAAGGGATTCTTAACAGGATTACAAAAAATAGGGTTGGTAGAAACCTTGAGAGCTCTTGTAGACCCCTTCTTCCAGCCCCTCAAGGGTATCAGTACATCTACATCACTCATTGAAGAGTCTGTCCACTCACAGACTGCTGTATCAGTACTGCAGACAACTTTGTTTCACAGTGAGTTTTGTGGTCAGTTTGTTGTTTGTGGAATGACTTGACTGCTGTCATTAAATGCTCATAATTTTTAGAGGTTTTAATTTCACTATGCTGGGAAGTCTTCAACTTAAGCTTTCTTGATCACAAACCCTTGAAGACAGTCCATCAGTATTAATTAGGCATCAAACAAATGGCCCAATTGCAAAGTTGTCTTTAATCTCACAGGGCAGTCCAGCTGTGCAATCCATAGGACAAGTTAATTTAAAATCATTACAGCATCAAAGCATTGTTTGGAGGAGCAGTTACTTTTTCAGATCCTCTTTCTTATCTCTAGCTCTTCTACAATTAGACGTTTAACCTCTCAGGCTGCTATTGGAATTAATTAATTAATTAATTGGAATGGGTAGAAAAGGTTGCTAATTAATGTTAGGAATTCCTCTTTTAAGTCTGTGTATCTGTATCCACATGCACTCTTACTTTTAAAATAATCACTAAGAAAATCTGTGTTCCTACTCCCTTGTTCTGAAATGTGGCATATTCTCTTAGACATCACTGTAGGAAATACAACACTTGACTCAGCATGTCAGGAAGCATAATTTCATCAGAGATAATAAAGGATTGGCCCATAATAGTGCCAAGAGAAGACTAAAACTAACATTTGTATAACTCTATCAGAAGTACAGCTCTTGACTTGTGAGTGAGAACTGCTGTCACTGGGAAAGGTTGGGAAGAAATTCTGCACTGCTTTTTGAATTCTGTTAATCCATTTAGCAGAGGTAACTTTGTTGAAGTTGCACTGTGTAATGTATTCTCCATTAGACCCAGCCAAGGATTGAGGAACACATTTCATTCCATAAATCAATAAACATCTCTTACAGTCAGTTCATGCTATTCCTTTCCTTGATGCTGAGCTGTGTACATGGCTTGAAACTATCTGTATCAACAAGACTGTACACTATCACCCAGGAAAATCTTGTTTATATATGCCAAATATGACCATTATTTCTTCAAATAAAATACTATCAGACATTTGATATTAAAGTTTTTAAATACAAGTGATTAAATAAGATGTGTGGGGGTTATTATTTCTTGACCATATCAACCATTAACTAACCTTCTTTCCTTTTGTGAATATTAAAAAAATTACAGAGCAGTTAAGAGAGGGGGAAACGACAGCAGTACCAAATCACTAATCCTCTGGTGTGTACTCTATTTCTTTTTTTGCTGTACTTTCAGTCTGTTATGAACAGGAGCCAAAACATTTACCAGGTAAACTTTACAAAGAAGTAAAGTTTAGAACATTAAATCAGTGTGATGTAGGTATAATCAACTATTGGCAGCATGGATTCAAGTATTCCATCAGTACTGCCAAAAACTCCTTTGACTTGTAATAAAACCATGCAAGAATATGTTTCTAATCATCTGGATTTTTTGAAATAATATCTGGGGATCTAGTTATGAACCAATTTATTGCAAATATTACTGACTTCTCTGGATAGATTGCTCATCAAGTAGTAGTCTAGTTTAGATTTTTTAATTAATACTTCCTATTTGTATTAGTTTTTGTTTGTGAGACCATGGCAGGGAAAAATTTATGTTGTTCTGTGGATCCTTCTTTTTATATTCCTTTAAAGCTGCTTAACAAATAAGACTTGCTGTTTTAGTTTGACACACCAGTTCGATCTTGAAAGTGTCTTCCAAGCACAGAAGTCTGTGTGCACTTGCCTTCTCTTGTAAAAGTCAGAGCAGCACTTTCTTTCTGGCTTGGTTTCTTTACACTGTTTGGGGCTTCACTTAACTTGAAGGAAAGGATAAGGTCAGAACAGCTTCACTGTGTAAGTTAAATGAGGTTACCAAGCCTACACAATTTATTTACAATGAAATTAATCATGCTGTGTACTTTACATAAGTATGCTAAAAAACGAAAATAAGCCAGATCCTGAGAACAATCAGTTAAGAATAAGAACAAGTCCTTTTGTTTCTTTCCCTGATGAAAAGAGAATTTAGCTCCCAAAATGCTTGGACAGGAGGTGCAAAAAACTCTAAATGGCTTAAGTTAAGTTTTTAATCCAGGCGCATTCAGCCTCTCAAATTTCATGCCTTCTATCCACATAAAGGAATGCTGACTCTCTCCCAGAAATTCTGACAGGCAAAAGAGCAGGAATGCTTAAGCTTTTAATAAGCTCTCACATATATAATTTAAAGGAATTTATTTGGAAAATAACTTACACAGACCAGAATGCTGTATATGCTAAGTTTCTGTGTCTGCAGTTTTCAGATTTGGCTTATTGTTACCTGTCAGTTGTTCCAAATCAACTAAAAACCGGTTCAATAATACACAGTTGCTTAATTGTAATATTTTACTTTTTTCTTTTCTTATGATCTGGATTAGTGTGAGATTCTACCTTCACAGTGGACTAGTTTTGACTCCCAAGGAACATCCAAGATATAATTTTGTTGTGAATAAAGGTGCCCTAAGGATGAATTATAACCTATGAATAAGATAATGTTTCACCTGGGGTTTTTTAGGGTGTACCTTCCTTCTCATTTTCTTGATTAGATGAACTTTCTACCAAAAAATTCAAATTTTTTTTGTATCTCGGTGAAACTATGCTATCTTTTAAATCTTCCATCACTTAACTAGAAGAAATGTTAATCACATTTTAAGGTTTTTTCTCCTGCTTAACTCTCTCTGATCAGGTTACTGGAGAAAACAGCTGGATCATGTCTGTGCTCACCTTAGAAGCTATGCTCAGAACAACCTTGAATTCAGAGCACTGATTGGAGAACCTCGAATGGGAAAGGTAGGAAGGAGGTTGTGAGTAATATCTTCCTATGAAGGATAATGAAAAGATTATTGTAGCTGCTAGATAAACACTGGAAAAATAAATGTCTCCCTTTTCTTTAGATGTTGACCTGTTTGTGTATGTAATTTGTCGTGTTTTGTTGTTCTATTTTTTGCTCAGTCTTTTATTGAAGATTTTTTTCTCCTTTCTTTCCTATTGTTAATTCTATTCTTCTTTTACCTAACAGCTGTAAGGAAAGTGAGAAAGCCCTTGCTCAGCTGTTTTATAGTACCCCACAGAAGGCAATCAAAAAAAAGAAGAGATCAATGGCATCTATATAGTTGCTCAGTTAAATAAGCCCTGCTAGAAATGGGATTTCAGTGATTTGCTCGCCTCTGCTCCAGGCTGATAGCAGCAGACAGCATCTATTCTCTTTGGCTATACAGTCTACTTTTAGTGTGAACTATACCAGTTTTACAGGAACAGAATAGTGCTTTTCTTACTGGAGAGGTAGTCTTCAGGATGTCACCAAACTGCATTAAAATTATTAAAGGGGTGACAGCAAGAAGGTGCAAACTGGAAATTCTTCCCACAGAGTCCTAGAAGGTAGGGCTGGTATGAGTGAGAGAACATTTGGTCTCTGACTTGAGGGAGGATCAACTGTCTAAACTGTTCCTGACTGATATTTCTCTTGAGGCTTTTCAAACTTACCAACAATGGAGATTTTGCAATTGGCCCACACAGTCCTTTTCTGCACTCAGCTATTGTTGCTGTTCAGCTGCAGTACTGTATTGCTTTCTTTGGTAGCTGGATCCTCTCACATTGCCACAAGTGGTTGTGCCGGCAGCGCATTGCTAGAAGGAAAGTCCTGTGAACAGGATCAGTGACTGCCCTAGGCTAAAAACAGCTCTGGAGGTAAAAAGGGGCAGCACTGTTAGTACAAAGTAAGGTGGCAGTGAGCAGCTGGAGGTAGGATGCAGGCAGAAGTGGGTTTGGGAACTCCTTGAACTGGCATAATTACTGAGAAGTGTCTGATCTCAATCTCCCCTGTTACAATTTAAGCTCAGTATTTCTTAGCCTGTCCTAACTGAAGTGACACACCAGTACATCCCCTCTCCCCCAATTTTAGCACATAGAAGCAACTACAGAAAGGCTCATGAGTACTGGGGGTCACAAAGGTAATTGTCATTTGTCAGGTAACACTTTGGGGAGGGATTAGACTCCAGTAGATACTCTGCACCTGAATCTATATCCACTGAGACCTGCTGTCCACCAGTATGTTCAGAAGCTGTAGTACAACTATAACTAGAATATCTGCTTAATAGAATTGGAGTATAGGTCCACTGCAACTTGTTTCCTTTGCTAGAGGATTCAAAAGGATAGGCCTGAAAAATATAAAATTGCCTAGAGAAGGCTATTGCTGCTGCTTCTTGGCCTGTTGTCATTCTATTGTCCTGAAACCACTGCCCCCAAAAGTAACAGAAATGGTTCAAAGCAGATGTTAACTATCTAGGTTTAATGCCACTTTTTCAGTTTTTCATTTGGATTAGAAATATAATAAATAACCTTATCTCAAAATTTTCAACCAGCTGCAATATAAGTTTGTGAGCTTCATTCCACTTCTTTATAATTCTTCTTGCACTCATTTCTGTATGACTTTGATAGACTTGTTGCCAGTAGTACTGTCTGAATGAATTGATATACAAAGTTGCTCACATTTTAATACACACTGTGCTTCCACAAACTGGCGTTTCTAGAGCAGTAACCAATTCTCCTGGAGTTGGGAGTCCCAAAAATGACACAGCCTTCCATGCAGCTGCAAAATCTTGGTGGAGAATGACTGAACTATCATGAAATTTAGCCTCATTACACCTTTTGGATTCACTTGGCATTTCAGTTACTCTGAATTGCTCAAAAGACACCTACCCCTTTCTCAGTTACATGGGAAGTGTTGGTTACAGTATCACAAGCAGGCAAAGGCCATGTGTGATTTTGTGTATTGGCTGCATAAGAAACATCAGCATCAAGACTTATTCCTAAAACTCTTTCTGTGTATTTTTTTTGTAAGAGGTACTAATGGCTGCTCTTTCCTTCTAGATTAATTCTGCTACCATCTGTGAGGATGACTATGAAGTCACTATTACACTGAATTATGTTCTTGCTATTAACAAGGTCAGTTCAGGGGATGAGGCCTGTTGATAGGCAGCTGGCATAAAGCTGTCACTAGACAGCAAGCGTAACGCTGATACATTTTAAATTTGGGTCTAAACAAGAAATTCTTTTATTCAGAGCATGTTAACTTATCACTTTAGAGAAAAAAATCTTTTTCTTTCTCTGTTGGAGCTGGATGAACAGGTATCTTTATCTGATTCCAGACTTCATGGTTATGTTGCTATCATCTTGCATTTTGTTAGTTGCTATTAACATTCTTCTTTCAGCTGATGTTGTTTGATGATTCTAGCTTTTGATGGTGAGCTTTTGATCTTAGATCCTGCAAACTGTGCTCTTAAGAAACAAGCTTAGTAATTTTCAGTAGTTTGGATATAATGTTTGTCGGAGCTCCTGTTAACTGTATTCAGAATCTGGAATCCCTGTCTCCAGAATTACCTTGTTCCAAAATCCACCCTCATTTCCAGCGTTTCAAAGATGAAAATCTACTGTTTCAAAAATCTGAAATTCAGATTATATCTTTTTTGTAGAAACTTAGCAAGCTTACCTTGTGATGTGAGACCTGAAAAGGTATATCACATCATTTCAGAAGTGAGGAGTTAATCAAATCTCTCAAGTGGTAGAAACACTTTCATTTGGATAAGAATCTTCATTTCTTTAAGTCAGGTTGTATCACCTTTTTTTTTCCTAAATCAAAACAAATTTTAGAAAAAATTGCTACATTATATTGCCTCAAAATTCAATGTTCAGTTTTTTTTCCTAAATCAAAACAAATTTTAGAAAAAATTGCTACATTATATTGCCTCAAAATTCAATGTTCAGTTTTTTTTCCTAAATCAAAACAAATTTTAGAAAAAATTGCTACATTATATTGCCTCAAAATTCAATGTTCAGTTTTTTTTCCTAAATCAAA